CAGATAGACAGATAGATAGATAGATAGATAGATAAACAGATAGACAGGTAGACAGCTAGACAGATAGACAGATGAAAGAGAGAGAGAGAGATAGATAGATATAGATAGATAGATAAATAGATAGGTAATTAGATGAAAGAGAGAGAGAGATAGATAGATCGATCGATCGATCGATAGATAGATAGATAGATACATAGATAGATAGATAGATAGGTAGATAGATAGATAAATAGGCAGGTAGGTAGGTAGATAGTCAGAGAGAGAGAGAGAGAGAGGAGACCTCAAGCGCCTTTCGGATCCTTTCGGTCCATCAGTGGATTCGCTCTGCCATCCGTGATTCACAACTACCAATCTCTCCTATAGGTTTCCTATTTTTGAAACTTCCGCCATCGCCTTGTGCGGTACTACTGGTAATATATTATATCTTAATGCAGGGGGTCACCAGGGTCCCGGGGGGATCGGTGACCAATGAAGACACCTCCCCGGGACCCGTGTAAACGTACCTGCGGGACTGGGGTGGCGCACCTGGGCGCATATAAGCCGCAGCTGGTGGTCACCTCAGTCCCATATATATATATATATATATTTTTTTATAAGTAACTAATCTAAGTGCATGCTTAGGGACTCAGTTCCCGACCGATCTCTTCAAAGATCCATTCTTGTCTAGTGTGTGAATGTGGGTGTGTTTGTGTGTCGGTCATCTTCTCCAAGATCCTTCCTCAAATCAATATGCAGCTCAGAGTGCTTGGTCGTAGCCTTTCTCTGTCTACATTTTTCTACACATCACTTTATGAGCAAAAGCGCTTTCAAAGATGACTCCACCGCATGGGTGTCACAGCCTGTCACTCGGTTAGCCTACAAGGCGTGGGGTGCCTGGACGGCCGGGTTGCAGAGTGGACACATTATCCGTTTCTACATCCTGACATGTTGGCAGCCTTCATCCTGAAAAGCCACAAAGGCTTTGCAATGCTTGCTGACAACATCTAATAACTACGTGCATTTGCAATTTAGGCATCTTACCACGTCTCACCTTCACTTGGTCCAATTTGGGAAAGGGCTCTCTGCTCAGACTTAACTGCCCCTGTGGGCTACGCATGCACCTGCCAAAGATCGCAAACTGCGCTTGAAGAAAGCACATGAAGCATTGGTCAATCGGCGCACGCGAAATGGAATTATTTCGAAATTTCATTTGACTTCAGCTAAGACAGCTAAGACTTTAGCGGCACGTTTACCTCAGCTGAATTTCCACATTGTTGGTTCGCGATCCGTGCGGTGCGGAGTGATTTAAAACTGTGGCAGTGAGAATTAGCATCCCTTCTCGGGTGCTTGCCGTCAAGTTCTTGACACAAAACTACATTCAAACCATTGCTCCCCTCATCCCAGAAGGTCAAGGCTGGCCATTTGATCTGCACCGAGAGATTCTAACTACCCAATACCTTCCAAAAATCCACTACCTACCTGCATCACTACAAACCGTCAAGTTTGGCAATGTGTTTCTGGAATTTGGGGTTTGGAATGTGGAAGGCTTGCATGGCAGAGCTGGCCTTTGGCCGAGTCTGCGTTGTTTCATTCTGTCCCTGCTGACATTTCCACGCGTCAGCAATGCTTCTATTCAGAATTTCAACACTCATGGTGCTAATCGTTTCGCCATCATTCAGTCGGCCACTGGCCCTGAGTTTGACTTTTTTGCGAGGACAGTAAGCACAACATTCAAAGCCATGCGGCAACAGCCATGCCCATCCCGCAATGATGTGCTAGATACAGTTGCTTGTGGCCAAAGTGGTTTCGTCCGAACAGTCTTCAAACCAGTTCGTGCCACTGTATGTGTTTTGCGCTACCGCCACTACCTCAGCTTAGAACCATTGCAAACAAGGTGCCCTCCGCTACTCACCAGCACCTTGCGAGCTGCCACTAACTGAGGACCCGGTTTGGAGTCCTGAAGCGGACGAGCTGCCTGGCAGCATTGCAGCACAGCCTTTGTATCAGAAAGGGGCAGGGAAGAAGAAAGAACCACACGGTTCAACCAACCAAAATGGAATCTAATCGCCCTGTAACATCCTGTAACCCAGGATGATGGGGAAGGAAGGAAGGAAAGGAAAAGAAAAGAAAAGAAAAGAAAAGAAAAGAAAGAACAAATGTTTGGGTGCAGGTCTCAAAGGACCATATCTAGGTGACAAGGATGCTACAAAAACGTAACTTCACCACTTCATGGTGAAGCTAGGGCACAATAAGATGAAACATGGCATACGCTTGGGAATACAATACCATACAACAACAAAACAACAACCTTGTATCATTGCACGACTGCTAGGCAATATTGCATGTTTAATTGATAATCTGATAATTGCAGGTACCATCAGATACTAATAATTGCCTGTCATTGCATGTTTCTTGATCATACCGCAACAAAGACATTAAAATATTATAGATCATTGATGATCATTGTAATTAATGCGTAGCGGTTGTTCCTCTATTGATACGTTGCTGCACTGGCAGGCCTCGCTGGATCTATCGTACCAAGTGGCACGAGCGCGGTTCCGTCTCGAACTGACTTGTATGTCTTGTACCGTATTATGAATGTGGCTTAATATGCTTAAGTTTAATGTCTGAATATGTCTGATGTGATTTTCCGGAAGATTCCGTCAGTAAAGGATCAGAAGGGCGCCTGTAGGCTTGTTGCCACCCTTTTTGTCGGTGATGGTCTTCATGGCTTTCACAACAAGCTTCTCCTCAGCAAAACGATGCAAAATGTCTTGCCTGCGGTCTCTCCCTTGCCTCTATGTGAAAAAGGCAAAACAATGACAAGGTCCCACATGTCCAAATTTTGCACAATGGTCTGCGGATTGGTGCACCGGATGTTGATGCCGACAAGTGTCTAACTTTTCCAAACGATCACTGCCCTGATCTTCGGCCAACGGATCCTTCCACAACTTTTGATAGCTTTGACAGTGACAACATTGTGGATTCAGATGGGTCCAACCAGGAGGTCGGCCAATGATTTTACATTCGGGGTCCACACAGGCTTGAAAGACTTGGATCTGGAACAGCTGTGACTTGCAAGCACTTGCGGCCAGAAGCTACCGCAAAGTAAGTAATATCTGCCAGGGTGTTCTCTCTCTCTCTCTCTTTCTTTCTATCGCTGAATGTGATGACCGTTGCACAAATCCCAAAGCTTCTGAAGCTCCTGTGGCCAAGGCATATTGGGAGCTGTTGAGCCACCAAAACGCCTCACTGAGTCCACCTCAAGGCCGCGCAAGAGCAGAACTTCATTCAGGCAACGAATCTTGAAGAATATTGAAGGAACAAGTGCGAATCCACCATGTACGGGCCACGTACAAAGACGTAGCCTTGCATGCTCGCAGTGCGAAACTGTTGAGCCCAAGACGGTTGTGGGATTGGCATTGGAAGGCTCATACACTTGGATTCCACCTGGCTCGGGGGAGGCCCGTGCAGCTTGTCAAGACACGTTTGGGGGGTTCGTGCGTCGACTGGTTCACGGAACCATCAGTTCCCGATCTATCTGCTCCATCGGAAACTCATAGCCTGTGCAAGCATACCTCGGATTTGTATCAACTATCGATGCATGTGCGCACATCTGTACGTACATACGTGTTTGTGATTTGTGGGTACCTTGGGTGACAGATCGTCAAGAATCCCTGACGTGAGACTTTGAATCTTGTGTCATGACTCTCCAAAATACGCAATTATCGGAACGCAGCCCTCGCGCAACCACAAAGGGGAACTGTTAAACTCACCCTGCTCTTCAAGTGCCCATCGTGGAGACGCGGCACGGGGCAAACGTGTGGAAGGATTGTTCAAGGGATGGATGCCGGCATCTGCGGATATGCCACTACCATTTTGATAATCTCATATTGAACTTGGCAGCACTTTTAGCTATCTCGGGCAAAGGTGCACCTACGGTATGTAGGGTGTTGAAACATGACCATGCCAATGACCAGAAATTTCCAATCTTCTCCAGGGTTGGAGATGGCTTGAAAGGTCCTTGCTTTGTACACACATCCTATTGGACCAGGCGAGGTCCTTCATATAGTACAAGTGGCACGCTCGGTCTGCTGTAGACATTCTCCAGTCGGCTCTGTAGATCAGGCGCCTGTTTCTGCACTGACTCAAGAATGTCAATTCCGTATCCCCATGTTCGAGATGTCGCTCCTGTATGAAGAATCGCGGAATGCCATCGGGAGATGTCGTCGTCCCGAAAAGTTCGGCACCAGCGTAAGTGCCAGGAGGATCCAGTGAAGGTGCTTGTGGTGTGTGTAGAGCTCGATGATCTGGGGAAGAGTCGCAGCACGCCTGTGGCGCAGTGTCAAGGCATGCAAGTGCATCTCAAGGTTGTTGGACTCGATCGTCATGATGTGCAGCAAGTTGCGCAGACGAGCTTCACGACGCTCATGCGCAGTGAGATCATGATGAACTTCGTCCAAGTCTGCTCCATTGATCAGATGTCCATCTTGAGCCGCACCTTTGCTCTCCCCATTCTCACTGTCTTCACCTTCTCCACTCCAGTTGGGTCCGTGTGGACTGTTATCTCGGGACCTCGAAGCTGCCTCATCGAATGCTCGCTCCACTTCGGGTTGATGGACCGAACCCCCTTCGTCAGCCTCAGCATCAGGCTCTGGTTGAGGAGGTCGTGGATCGGCGATCCTCGGTCTGGAGCTCGAGCGTTCTTCAGGATGAGGACTGGCTCTTCTTCTCAGGTTCTGTAGATGGTGTCAATGTCCCGGATGCTCTCGTTCATCTGAATCGCTCCGATGTTGTTCTCTGCCTGCAACATCCTTTCCACAAGGTTCGCTGTCACCATCGGCTGAACCATCGGGTTGCTGTAGGTCTCCACCATGCGCTGCATTCGTCGCAAACATTTCCATAGGTGCAAAACCGCCAGGCACAAAAGCATGCAAAGAGAGGATATGATGCAAATCACCGCTGTCTGTACGTTGAATTTGGTCTCCTTCTTGGAGTCTTGTGTTTCACACTGATCTTCGTCAGCCTGTCCTTGTGTCATCTGCCATGCGCACAGCGTGGCCACCAACCAAAAGCTTGAACTTGATGTCCAGGATATAGCACATGGTCGTAGTCCAAGTCCCTGACGTAGCAAAGCTCTGCACGGCTTTGATGTCAGCGGTGGTCATCATGGTGTTGATCCACTTCTTGTCTCCAGCTTCCAAGTCATCCTCGTTGAAGTCTGTCGTCGGAGGCATGGCTCCCAGTGGGTGTCCATCTTCATTTCGAAACACCACTTGACCAGTTGAGAGCAGATGTAGAAGTTGTCTGCTCAGCATCGGCTTCGTCAGCGCATCTGCCACCATTGATTGCGTTGGCACAAAAATCACCCAACGTAGGCGTCCACAAAGCCGGGCTTCACGGTGAGCTAAAATGTAGACTCGTTGAGAACGGTCTTGAGGTAGAGAACTGCCACCAGTCGTGAGGGAGTAGAAGTCCTTGCAATCAGTCATCGCATCAGCTGGAAGAAAAGGTGCTCCAGCTTCTTGCAGCGCAGCCAGCTGCAGCAAAGTTGGCTTCTCCGTTGGAACCAAAAGTTCGGCCAAACGTAGAGCCACCAGTGAAGCTGTCTCCAAACCAGAAATGGCAGCAAGCGTCTCAGAGTGAGAAGTTGAGTAGCTGGTTCGTTTTGCCTTGGCACCGTGGGAAAACAAGATGTGGGCGTCTCCTGCAAAAATGTTCTTCACTCACTTCAAGTCCAGTGATGGAGTGAACCTGGCTGTTGAAGTTGAGGTTGTCCTGCATGAGGAGGATCATGACTCCCTCTTGACAGTATAGGCTTTGCCTTTCGACGCTGAGCTTGCGTCATGCACTGCAACCAGTCTCTAGATGTTGTCGGGAAGTGTTTGTAGACTATATGCCCACACCACGATATTGTGCCATCTTGGCCTTCTTCACAATGGCATTGGCCAGGTGCAAGTCTTGCACTGTCGCCTTTGTCACGCGTGACTGTAGAACTCCAACGTCAGCCACCAAATCCAGCCTTGTCGCTGTGATCCAAAGAAGTCCACCTAGGATACTGCGCCGCAAGGTTGATGTTTCAGCCGGTGTCAAAGGTCTGCTTTGATCATCACCAAGGTCTTTGAAGTCCATGACCTTCATCCTATCGATGAACTCCTGCTGGTCGATAGAGAAGCTAGACGCAACTTTGTTGTACCGGCTTCCACAGTGGTTGAAAGGAGGCTGTTGCACGGAGATCTTGCCAAATCGGCCACTAAGAAAAGCATACTCCTTCTCAAGGAACTCAGCGCCACCACAGACGGCAATGTCGTCGACGTGGGTTGTCATTACAGCTTGGAGTTTGCCTCCAGCTTTCCAAAACCAAAGGTTCTCAGTGGTGCATCATTGAGGCCACGTGCGGGCTTGTCGCGCTCCAAGCCCCAAAGTCCTTGTTGACCTTCTCAACTGCCAAAGCTGGCATCCATTTCAGAGAGGTGTCGCCAAACGTTGGCAGGAGGTATGATCACCACTCTTCTCTTCGGCGAGGAAATGCCCTTGCTCTGTAGGACTGCTTTTACCTTGGCGAGGATGAATCCTTTCAGGAAGGCTCCACTGACATCCCAAGATCTGATGTCAAAGTTGTGAGTAGCCGCCAAGGAGAGCACCAATCTCTGACTCAAGCGTGTAGCTGTGCTCCGTGTCGGAAGCTCTTGCTTCTGAGGGTCGAGAAAACCTCGAGCACATAGTCAGCTGCTGGCCTTCAAGCTTGAGGAGGACAGGCGCTTGTATTTGCGCACCCACGTAGCGTCCACCAAGCCCACATCTTCAGGTAGGTCTTCCAGCTTCACTTTATTTCTTGAACACCTTCTCATCCACGAACTGCTTGCGTTCAGCTTTGTCGCTCTCCTCGAAGTCTGGCCGGTTTTCCAAAACTCGATCTTCGCTGAGGACGTCAGTGTCTTCATCACGATTAGATCTCGCCAGTCAGGAGGTAGATGTGTAGATGGGCTTCTGTGCGACAGTGAAGGTGGAGTAGAAGTCTTGGTGTTGTTGGCGTCGGTGAAGCGAGGCTCCGTTTTCTCATCCATCTCTCATCATCAGCAAGCCAGATCTCGTGAGGTTGTTGAAGTCTGACCTTCTTGGGTCGTTGGCACATCCACCACAAAGAGCTCAAATGGAGCTTTGCCTTCTTCCTCTCAGGAGCCTGCGCCACAATCTCCACTGGGCCCTCACGCTTCTTGTTGAACTCCTCAGGAGAAGGATCTGAATGTTGGCCACTTGTGGAGGCAGCAGAAGACATAGTTTTTGATCCATGGGAGCTTGTTGATCTTGTGCAGGGTATCCTCGTGAGACTCTTGCAGGGATCCAGGAATCCTCAGTGTGCATCTGCACAAAGCCAAACAAGTAGAGATGGCAAAGCTTGCCGATGTTGGTGCTGAAAAGCTCCTTGATGTGGATGATCGAGTCGGTGTTGTGTTCAGTCACAGCTATTCCAGTGTGGCCTTCTGCACAAGTGATCAGAGTGCCCGTGGAGAATTTGGGCACCAGGATGGTCTTCATGCCTCTTCCATATCTGATTCCATGGCAAGCCACTCGGTCGTGGTGGAAGTTCAAGAAGGTCTTTGCATCCTTCAGCATCTTCTCAGCCATGTCGCTGTGAAGCTTCGGAAACTTGATCATTCGGTTCTCACCATCCTCAGACTTCAGGATTTCACCCATGGTGTATGGACGGTAGGGAGAACAATTGTTCCACCACCAGCTTCATTCGTCGTCGAGCTTGTTCAACATCGGCAGAGGTGGTGTTGAAGACTTCAGTCACAAATTGGAGGTAGCTTTCGCGAAGAGGTCGGTAGGTCGGTCGGAGATGTCGGAGTCCAATCAAGTATGGACGTTGTTGGAACTCCACAATGGCAGTGCCAGCAGACTCGTGGATCTTCAGGATCGTCGCTGGGCCAGGCCATCCATATAGCCGCCTCCATCATCACGGAAAATTTCCACCTTGGTGGTTCCTGGTGTCATTTCGGCAACAAGTAACTGTTGAGGTCGAGAGCGGTTGGCTTTTGCGATCCTGGATTGCAGGATGGCAGCTTGACTGGCTTGCAGAGCTATCTGCCGCAATCTCACTGATCTCTCACAGGCAGATTCTTCAGGGGAAACTTCATCACCAGGAGGAGGTTCTTCTGGATCAAGGTATCCGCGAGGAAGTACTCCAAACAACATCGTTGAAGGTGCATAGCCACCAATTTGGTGAGCTGTGTTCGCAGCCATGCTGGCCTCACTGGCCAATTCCTCACCTTCAATCTCAAGGCCCCAACGTCCAGCTTCTGCAAGTTTGGCCATAGTCAACTTGGTGAGGTCAATGTGTTTCTCCACCAGGCCAGTTGCTGATGTTTTCTTGAGAGGGCCGCTGCAGGGCCAACCACTACACACAATAGCGTTCACATCCCAAACTCCACAACTCATTTTTTGACATTACCCTTCAAGTTCCACGCGCGCGCCCAACGGTACAAGCAGCTGTTAGATTTAGAAAGTAGGAGGTTGTATTTCTTCAGTGTGTGATAAGAAGCGGGATTACTTGTGCAAAACTCATTCAGCCCTGTTTGTGAGGCTTTTCTCACTGGGATGTGAAAGTAGCCATAGCAGGGGACATGACAATGAGCTGGTCCACCCGCTTGAATTGAAATTAAGCTGGAAGGGGAAACTGGCCAGGCGTCGATTTAATTTTGTTTGCGCCTTGAGCTTCATGCGTTTCACGGGATTGCTGGACAGAACGCTCTCCAATCGCGGCACCAAACGCACATTTGGGGCCATGTTGCAAACCGAAGGGGTACGTGGCAGGGCCAGCAAATGGCCCTTCCAGAGCGTCGGAGCAAAGCAGCTCACGCGCAAACCGCAAATTCAAGTCGGGACGTCCCGGATCGAAATGCCCCAAGGCTCCAGAGAAAAACTTGAAACAAACAAGCTGATCGCACCCGAAAAGTTGGTTTTAATCAGCCTTGGCGGTGGGGGCTTCTGCAAATTCAACCCGGGACGTCCCAGCTTGAAATTCGGATTTGGGTGCTGGGGGTTGCTTTAACACAAGCTTTCCAAGGATAAATTTTGGCAAGGTTTTCTTAGGCAGCGGTCAGTGCACAAAGGTCAAGGCCACTGCGCGTCCATGTGTGCCCACATTTGATATGTAAGGACGTCCTAGTTGTGAATTTGACTGTCACTTCAGCCTTTGCGAGCCCGACATTGCCCGACTACGTCCTTCATTATATACAGAATTTCTGGCTGAAACTGATCACAAGAACAATATCAGGGGGCTTATTATAAGAAACCCGCAGGTGCAAGAAACAAATCGGCACACCTTCGACGCCCTTTACAGATCCATTTCAGACACTGTAGACGTACGATGCATACACTCGCAAAAAGATTTTGGCTTAAATGCTGCTCAAGATCCAGCAAATACTCTCATGGGACCTTATCCGTTCAATTTGAACGAAACTTAGTCCCACGCAAGTGCGCCACGGAAGTGAAGTGTGTGACATAATGCCTTTTGTTGGCCAGCGGCCCTCCTAAGAAAAGATCAGGAAGTTGAGGTGTGCTTTTGACCTTGAACTCCAGATGTGGTTCCACCAGGTCGACGGACCTGATTTAACTGTTCAGGAGAGCATTGGGCACATGCTTCATCTCTCGATATCTCTCGAGTCTGGCAAGCGGTCGCAATGCGAGTTGATGCGATTTGCCTCGTCGACCGTGAAGGTCAGCACCTCGATATTGAGGACGGCGACCAGGGCGGCAAAACGCCTGCAAATCCTGCAGCTTGCCACAGCATCGCTTGTCAAGCGCCAGACAGCATGAGGCATTCCACAGCGCTGCAAGATGGACTGTATGCCCTGACAGCCGCATGCCAAAGTCGTTCATGTAGGCCAAGTATGAGCCTCTTGACATCATCTTTTCCAGCCGGTTTTGGAAGTCGTGTGAAGACCCGACGGAAGTCAAAGATCGGCTTGAGACTTCCTGGATGTTCTGCAGGGCATTGCAGGGCCATCAGGGTTCTCTTCATCATGTTCTTGTGGTTGAAGTTGTTCAAGTTCTTGGCCTGCGATGGCAACCTGTCTTCCATCACTCTTGTCATCATCATCGCTGTCGACCTTGTCCTTGATGGCTGGTCTTGCAGAAGAGGCCGATGAAGAGGCTTGTGCTTGATCAGCAGGATCCTTGCCAAACACGGCCGCCAGCCAGTCATCCTCCAGGTTCAGAGGTTCATGCCACTGACTCAGAGGGAGTTCACGCAGATCTTCAACAGCTTGTAGATTCCAGCTTTCGACATTGCCTCGCATCAAAAGTCGTAGTGGAGCAGCATCGACAGTCATCTGAGTATCAGGTGTTGGGGTAAGGCTGCAGGCAAGCCATCACTCCTTGGACGTTCATGTACTCCTTGAACACCTTTCGAAGCCATCCCAAGGACGTAGGATCTTCAAGCCAGTGGACATAGTTCTGGTCCTTGGCCTTCCCCGCTTCTCCAGAACGTCGAACTTGTCCACCGCTCCAGACAAAAGCTTGATGAGGCACATCTTGAGAATGGCTGTCTGCCCACTGTCGAAGCTGAGAGAAGGATGAGCGGAGAGTCATCCCTGCATGAGTTTTGGATTCTTCAGGGCTTCTTTGCGGAGGCTGTCGAAGACATCGTCCTTCTGTCGTTGTTCTCGTTCAAGTTGTTTTCTCTGTCTGGGGTTCTCACCTCCAGGCCATTGTCCATAGCGACATTCTCCTGGAAGGAAGCTGTGTTCCATGTTGGATTTGGCCGCACGGCCCATTGCACAGCGCTCACATTTGTAGTAGTCTTGGAAGGTGTTGCGGTAGTCCAGGAACTTCACATCTTTCACCCAGGCTTTGCATAGACCCTCAGGGTATACTGCCTCTAGTGTCGTGCAGTTCTTGCCACCAATTGCTCCTTGAAGCCAGCCATGTTTTCGACCAAGATGTCCTCCACAGCGGGCCACAGCAGTGCTTGAGGATGTCGCACCAAGTCCAGTGGGCTTCAAGATTGGGTTGCATTCCTCATCGCAAGCTTTGAACCTGCACTGATCTGTGCGATGTCGTTCACCTGGAAGATCTTGTAGACGATCCCAAAGCGCGGAAGACCACGGCTGTTCAAGGATGTTGCCTTTCTTCCGCTTGGCTCTTTCTTTGATCTTCTTCTTGATGTACTCAATGGTCTGCATTTCTTCAGCTCGTTCCTTCATGGTCAACTCCGGGTCACGTCGTGTGGATGAAATGGACCAAGGGCGACATGTAGGCCCGATCTAGTGGATGATGCGTTGGTGATCGGGATGGCTCAGGTACCAGCCGTAGCGGTAGTC